CAGCAGACTCAGCTACTGTACCAGGGACCATGGACAAGCAGTGAGCCAAACTGGAACACAAACTGGACCAGCCAGATCTTCTAAATGCGAAGGTCGTGCTCCCTGAACTGAGCAACCAATGAGGAAGACAACATTGAGAAGAACTATAGCTACAGGCTCTGCAAAGGCAGGTGAACACTAAAGTCAATATAGCACCACCCATCGACAAGACCTAAAACAATGCCAGGTACCGGGAGGCTCCGGTCGAAAAAAAAGGTGGTCAGGACTATAGATACAATAGCCAGCCAGAGTATCCGATTTGCTAGAGATAGTCACTACAGTCGATGAAATCGGATTTGCTATAGATAGGATCTGGTTCCTCGCCAGAGCAACTAAAAAGAATCAGGAACATGATCTGGACCAAGGACCAGACCATTCAAAGGGTGAGGGAAGGAGAGGTGGAGGGGGGGGGAAGGGTTAGGAATGACAGTCAGGTCATGGGCAGTTGAGCAACTGCAGGAAAATAACTGACCGGTAGAAAACACAATGCCAGGCACCTATAGAGAACCAGGAACATAATCTGGACCAAGCACCAGACCGCCCAGAGAGGGTGAGAGAAGGGGGGGAGAAGAGGGGGAGAAGGGGGAGAGAATGGGGAGCTTTGAACAAAGCCTGGCCATGGGCACTTGCGACACTGCAGTTATGCACCAACCTCTTAGTATACACAATGCCAGGCACACAAAAACAATGGGGCTCTGGCAAGGAAACCTTGGAAAATAAAGGGTCAGCAAAAATGGGATGAATTGGCCACGCATTACCTGACACCCAACTCTTTTTACCTCAGGGTAAACTTATTTACCCCAGAAACTATAAGAGGTCACACATCGCACCAAGCATAATCTCGTCGGTATACCTCCATAGCATAGCAAAGAACAGCAGCAATGAGAGAGAGAGAGAGAGAGAGAGAGAGAGAGAGAGAGAGAGAGAGAGAGAGAAGCCATGGGTCTGGATCATGAAGGTTGAGAGCACCCCGGCAAGCAGATTTGCCAAACGAGGGAGGCTACGAAGGGAAGGCATCACTAAGCTTGAACCGACAACGTGTTGGAGATTGACGTATGGACTCGTTGTCACATCCTTGGCACATCTTCCTTCTCAGCCGCTCGACTCTCTGCTGCTAATCTTCATATAACGGGCGACTAACTACGGAGGTAACTTTCGACCTTGCTCAGCAGCAGTAAATCTGAACACTAACCTCACTTGAGTACCTGGATGTTAAGGCACCAGTACATGGGCACCTGGGCCGCGGGCCTGAAACATAAAATTCTGGAGGCGCGAAATGAAAACGCGACCGCCGATCGAATTTATCAACGGCGAGCCTAGCGTTTGACATTTTGGCCTCGCCTCATTTTCTTGCGGCGACAAGTTCCCGACTGCAAGGTGGGAGCCGTGTACTAGTGGTTTGAGGCAACCACTCACACTAGGATTCTAGTAGAATGCTAATTGCTAAGCGCTAACCGCACCTGGGTACACGAGTACTGGGGACCTTTTACCAAAAATGCACTGCTAATCTTACAAAACACCCTTTAGAGAAGGTCGATTTCGCAACAACCACCCCGCTTACATCACAACTAAAGGAACACCAGTCATCCCTTCATGTTTGTACTCCTCATAAAGGTCTTCCGTCCCCTTTATGAATTCCATCTCGGCATCGGATATCTCGTCTGGTATCGAGTCCTTCTGCAGAAACCTAATCCTACAACATCCTTTCGAGGAGGTTAACTCAGCAGCAACAACAACAACAACCACAAACACTTACATCACGACTAAAGGAACATCGCCCATTCTGCCTTCACGTTTGTACTCCTCGTAAAGGTCTTCCATCGCCTTGATGAATTTTGTCTGGACAGCCAATACCTGGTCCGGTGTTGGGTCCTTTACGTGCGGTACTTCGATCGGCTTCCCTACGACAACAAGCATTTCACCTGGCCATGGAATAGGTGAACACATAACTCCCCAGTAAATCATAGGTACATAATGTATAGCTCTTGCGAGCCGTTGAAACCACTTTGCTTTCGGTGCCCAAAATGAGAAAGCGTAGCTCTGCCGGAAGCAGTACGCGGGTACCACCGGCGAGCCTGTCGAAATCGCGATCCGGAGGAATCCGCGGCGTGCCCTAAGGAAGATCACCTCCTTGCCCTTCTCCATGTAAAGGCACTCTTGCACGCCTCCCGGGACCAACGTGCAGGAATACCCATCGGAAAGCAGTTTCACAAAGGTCTCGCGAGAGACGTCGTGGACCCCCATCCAGGTCCATACATGTCGGATAATCGGGACATACTTGAGCATGGACGTCCCCAAGAGTCTGATTTTTGGAACAGGACTGTTGCGCAGAACAGGACTTAGCGCTACGGTGGCTAGCGGTAGGACCGAGTGCGGCTCGAGACCGATCACGTACGCTCGATTGGGATCGAATGACGCATTTTCAGCGATCTTCACCTTGATAGGAAAGTACTGAACAACCGTGGAGCAAACGAACCTGGTGAGGGATCGCGCCCAAGCCGAGGGTTCGCTAACCGGAATGAGAATCAGGGTCAGATAGACACACAGCAATGATATGCCTATAGGTCTGCGGATATACCAGAGGATTAGGGCGATGATCATGATATTCAGGTGAATTCCACAGATCCAAATGAAGAGGGCAATACTCATTTGGACCTTTCGAGGCATTCGTTTCAGGAGCTGGACAATTGTGTGCTCATCGCCCTCATCCGCGACCATCTTTGCGTTGTTGATCGGCGTCGGTGTTGCATTGCATGCCGACTCGCCCCTGTTTGTGGGTCTCGAAGTGACCAGCACATTCCCATCAACCCCATGCCGCACATCCTGCTGGCCTTCTCCATACTTCGTCAGACCTGCAGAGGATGTGGTGCCACTGCTGTTTGGGAGCGCAAAATCCATCGCCGCGTTACCCTTGGTCTCTTTCTGAGAATCCTGTCGTCCTACATGCTCCTCCTCGGGGGGGACAGAGCATATGGCATCACCACTGCTACCATCGTGAGGAGCATGTCCCCCATCCAAATGCTCCTCCCCCTGAGCATCTCCCATCTTGTGATCCCAATGACCATCGAGAACATCATCGTCCACTCTCGAACTCCCGCTTTCCAACGCATCAACACATGCCATGCCAACGTCACCACCACCAAAATCAGAGCACCGTGCTTGTTCGCCCATGTTCCACAACCGCCCCAATCCCTCTCCCCCTACGGTCCTGCACTCTTCCCAACACCCTCCAACCCACCACACACACAACACCGACACGCTCACCAGCTCCTCCCTACCATGGTCCCATGGTCTCAAGGAACTGGCACCTTCACCCGTTCTTTACAACCTGTGGGACTGCGGAACCTCTCGAGAGTGGAATAGGGTGTAGTAGCTGGCAGCTGAAGGTATAGGCCTGCATGCATGGCATCCATAGACGGCAACCAGCTATACTCCCCAGCTATAGCTATACCCTGCTGCTATGGACGTCGTCCAGAACAAGGTGTACTAGCTGGCAGCTAAAGGTATGACCTGCATGCATGGCCTCCACAGACGGCGACCAGCTGTAGCTATACTCTCCAGCTATAGCCACACCCTGCTGCTATAGATGTCGTCCAGAATAGGGTGTAGTAGGTGGCAGCTAAAGGTATAGACCTGCATGCACGGCATCCACAGATGGCGACCAGCTACAGGTTGCAGCTGTAGCTATACTCTCCAGCTATAGCTATACCCTACTGCTATAGATGTTGTGTGCAGCTGCTGTAGCTATAGCTGTCACGCACACAATCCATGGAAAGGGATTCATGCTATCACCGCCCACAGCGACGGCATTTGCCTCCGCTTGCTGGACCCATGCATTCAAAAGACCAGTAGGCAAAAGCCACTTTCTTCGCAGTGGCTATACCCTTCACACACACTGACTATTCTCTCCATAGTGTGTGCCAGAGCCACACTATGCTCTGTGCAAAACTGTGGATCAGTAATGTGCATTAGGATGTGATTGTCGCTCGACAGTGGACACCTGAACGGCAGCGTTCTCTTCACAACATGCAAGTCCAGGTAAAATGTTCGCAAGCAATGAGCGTTCTCAAAGATCTTTCTGTCAGCTCCAGACCCCTCCTGACTCTGTACCTGCTGTTCAGCAGACAAAAAAAAAAGATAGGAAAACAGGAAATAAAAAATGGCCAAGCTCAGAATAAAAACTTAAAAAGAGGAAGAGGGGGGGGGGGGGGGAGGAAGGAATTAAAAAATCAGGAATCAGCGTGAAGCACACAGGGACAGCTAGAAACGGGGGTGTGGAGATGGGGGAGTGGGGGGGACGGTGGGAAGGGGAAGAGGGAGAAGGGAGGAAGGGAAAAAGGGAAAAAAGATGGAATTTCAAATAGCTTTCTCGACCTTTTGGCTAAAAATAGAGTGCAATGTATCCGTTCTGAGCAGTTCAATATCTGATCCATGGTCCATTGGGACAATTATAAAAAATAAAAAAAAAAAAGGTTCACAAATGATGCCCCCTGGAGGAGACTGTCCTTGGGGCTGTCACAAGCCATCTGATCTCCCCACTGGTCGACAGCGGCAGCGCCGGCAGGCACCTCCCGAGGCCTAGCATCCAGCCTCTACTACGATCTGGACCAAAAAA